TTAATAATAGAATGATATTTTTCTGTATATGTTAGCAAATACGAGATATCATATTGAATGAAAAATCAGATGATTTTGATCAAACTCCGATTAACTTAATCATAGATTTATATATTATAGTAGATTTATATATCAGATTTATATATTGTAATAAATTTATATATTGTAATGTTGAAAATATAGATTCATGTTTTAATTTGATGAATCTGTACTAAAGAAAGGGTTTTTAATACGGTCCTGTGGCGCAACGGATAACGCGTCTGACTACGGATCAGAAGATTCCAGGTTCGAATCCTGGCAGGATCGACTTAGTCATATTTTTGAAATTACATAAATTTTTAAAAAGTACAAATTGATATAGAGATAGAAATTTCATGTTTTCACAGTGGTATCGAAATTATTGACTTTTTTAAAGATAAATTGCATTGGTCTGCTTCAACCTTTTTGTATTCTCTTTTTTGGTATTTAATCAAAATGTATATTTGAACGATCATATATTTCAATGATCATACATCTTGAAAATATATAACTGTCAAAATTTCTTAGCAAAAGAGTGCGAGAATTATTATGTTTCAAAGCGATAACTTATCTGTGTGAAACGGATATCTATTTTCGTAATGCAAAGATAACTTGGATCAAGTTTCGCATTTTTGCGACATCTTGTATTTTGCGACATTTGTTACATCATTTGCAGTTAAACGATTTGAAGCAACATCTCTTCTTTTTTAATCCGGCATTATTAAGACAGAGTAGAAATTCCAAATGTTATTTTCATAACTGTTCTTCGTATATGAGTATGTCGTAATGAAGAAAATTTTAAAATAATTTGAAAATTACACAATTTATGAAAAAATTACAGTTATTCTAAATCACATTTAAAAATAATATGACAAATTTGATGACAGTTTACTATTTGGATCATAAGTTTTTTGATAAATACTAGTATTTTTTAAATCTGTCCTCTAATAAAAATATATAAAAATGTATTATAAAATAAATCATAAAAATCTCAATTTTTTAATATAAGTACATTATTATATAGTATTCAAGTTATTTGTGTAGAGTTACATTTCGATCCATGAACTAGTTGTCCAATAAATAAATAAAATATTTATTTATTCTATATCTTTGTAACTAATTAGTGACTCGCAATGAAACTTTGCATAAATTACTTTGAATATTTAAAGTACTTACAAAAGAAAAATGTAAATTTGAAATTTAATCATTTTTTACAATTTTCATTTTTAACAATAAAAATAATAACAAATAAAATAAACTACAAAAATTTATTAAACAAAAATATAATCTTATTCACACAATTTTTATGTGTATAGTTTATTTGAAGTGTAAATATTAATCATACTTTCAAATTTAATTTTCTTTGCAGGAACTGTACGTGTAATCCTTACCGTTTAAAAATTTTTTGTTACTAACTTAAATATTAACTAAAATTTTGTAAACTTTATTATATGTAGTCTAGACCAAAATAAGACTGGAAACAGTCAGGTAATATATTGCTATTGCGTGGCTGCCTTTGTTAATAACGGATCGGACTGAAAGGAATGTAACTGATAAAAAGTAATCTAAAAACCTGTCCGTCTCCACAGGGGACACCTTTGAAGATTTTCTCCCTTCTTAACAAAAAAAGGATCAAAATAAGACATGTCTATTTTGCATTTGTTCCCACGCACTTTTAAGGAATGAAATTGTTGATGACTTTGTCATCATTTTTGATGACTAATTAATTATTTCATTGTAAATTCAACAATATATATTTATTTTCCAAAAAATCATTTTTGAGAATTAATTACAAATGCCTGCATGTTTACTACCATAGACATATAGAAGTCTGTGTTTACTACCCATACTATCCGAAGCGGATAGACCGAAGCGCTCTTCACGCAGCTTCTGCATGATAGGAAATGACGATAAGGACAAATACATTTCAAGGAATTTTGTATAATCACATAAATTCTTATCATGTACAATCATAATAAAATTATTGAAAAATTTGAAAATCAAATTATGAATAATCCAATGACTATATGAGACGCACGAACGATGAAACCATACAAATTTTTTATACAAGTTTTTACTGCGTAACATCGGATGAACAATTTTTAAACATGGAATGTTCACAATGTTTGATGCCCGGTTGTTCTTTTAGCTAAATATTTCCAAATCACCTTCAAAATATCTTTATAAAGGTTAATTTTTTCTTTATCAAGCGGACGAAGTCCGCTGTAAATGTGTAAACACACATTACACAGCGCCGAGACACTACCGTGTCTCTAGACTCGTAACATGGGCAAAATCGGCTTAGGCAAGCGGCGTCAGTTCTTTTATATTCCTTCTTGCCGGCATGCGAACAACATCTCTCCTACAAAGATTATTTACCTTTCATCGAAACACGAGAACACAGGTCAGACTAATAACAGCACGTTTATAAGAATATTTCTATTTTCTTCGAAGATTTATGAGACAAAATAGCCTCTTACGATTAGTTTAAAGTATGTACACGTCTAAAAAAAATCAAAATAAGATAGACGGTTTCACGCGTAAATATTTCTTTTCGAATCTTCAATTTTTTCCGGGAAAAATATTTGCGTAATAAATAATATCGAATATTGTTAAGTATTAAAGCAGGATATGTATACGTTGAAAATTTTATAATTAATATATATACTATCTTTAGTATTCTATAATTAATAACTACTTTTAATATTTTTTATGATTCTGTAATAATAATTTTGTTCTTAATATTTGTAAACATTCGTTAAACTCATCATTATTGGAACGATTTAATCTAGCATTTCTGTCTCATGTTATTATTAGAAAAAGTTTACATGATATATACGAAGAACAAAGAAGATAACATTTACAAAAGCTATCGTATATGTTTATATTGAATCTTATTACGATTATATAATTACATTATTATTGCATTATGATTACATTACCAATTATTCTTTGGTATAATTATTAAAATATCAATATTTATATATATATATATATATATTCTGTGTCAACGATAGAGATCGGTTGCTATTTATTTATTAGAGTGTATAATTTTATCCGTATTCAACAAACTAAATTGGCAATCGAAGAATGTATAAGAACATAATGCATGTACATACATACAATAGTATGTACAGGGTGTATCTAAAATAACGTACATTTATCATACAGTGCTATTCCTAATACAAAACTGAGTCGAAAAGTCCTCTACCATTTTGCAATTTCCGTAATAAGATATTAATTACAAGTTAATAAGATATTAATTACAAAAAATCGCTGAATATTGGTTTTCAATAATTTTTTACTCAAATACTATCAACTTTACAGAAAAACTGCTACAGATAAAAATTGTTTATTTTCTTCTCATAAAGTTATGAGAATTTGTTCAGAGAATTTGTTTTTTGATATCGTATTTTCTTATGTTGGTAAAAATAAGAAAACACAATACTAAAAAGTTGATAAAAAATTCTGAAAAAATTCTTAGAGTTTCATGAGAAAAAGATAAGTGATTTTTGTCTGTTGCAGTTTTTCTGTAAAGTTGATAATATTTGAATAAAAAATATTGAAAACCAATATTCAGCGATTTTTAATAATTAATATCTTGTTAACTATTGCGAAAATTGCAAAATGGTACAGGACTTTTCGACTTAGTTTTTTATTAGGAATAGCACTGTATGATTAGTGTATATTATTTCAGATACACTCTGTATATAATTCACATTGAATTATTTAAGCATTAAAGATCCAGCTTCGACCGTTATAGACATTTTAATTTCTAGTATTGATTGTGATTTATGATCAAAATCGCTGATACATCATGGACGATGATCCACAATGCTACAAAATGCTTATTCATCACCATATTGATTTATGACTTTAGAAGCGAGAAAAAACATACAATAAAGGCTATTAGAATATACACTATCAGTACCGGAAATTTATTATATAATTCATATTACATATATTATAAATTTTCGATACTGGCAGTGTATATTAAAACAAGACCAAAATATATTTTAAAATAGAAATACTTTTCGATAAAATAGACTTAGATGTAAAATATATCAAAAATGATCTTTTTCGGGAAGAAATTAAATCATATTTACTTCTATATATATTAATAGTTTGACAGCTGTGAACGTAGCTTATACTTCTAATATTAATAATTTGACAACTGTGAACATAGCTTATTTCGTTTTTTATTATGTATAATTCATTTCTAAATATATTGTCACTTATTAATTAACGAAATAAAAGGATATATTATTAACATCTCAGATCGATTGTGGTTAATGTCTGTTTCGGCGCACTGCAGTTGCATCTGAGATAATTAAATTTAAAAATTAAGAATATGTATTACATTCATAACAACTAACTTTGACCGATTATTGGCGTTCTTTATACTTATGAAATAAAAGGAGTTTTCGGCATATTTTTTACAAGTCAATTCTATGTAAGTGTTGCTTATTGAAATATATTTCCATATTAATATATTTTGCAATAATTTTTATTGTACATTTTCTCGGTTCTGATGTCACAATCCGAGATAGTAATTGTGAGTGAAAACGAATGTTGCTAAAGATTGCTGTTTCAATCTTTGTCGTTCGTATAAGCTTTATATGTTAACGTTTAATTTTGTATGTTATTTTAATCCGGAGTGTCGATTCCAGTCGCAGACTTCTATAAAAGTCTAGTTTTATAAAAGTCTGTGATTTTCCAGTGAGTTAAGAAATAACTGATGGATTCGAATCTTATATCGTATTAAATTGTTCAAATATCTTCCGTTTATTTCGTATAGGAATCATAGGAAAAGAAAGCACACACAAACACACACTACATATCTTTATATTTATCAATCTGTAGATGTTATTACAATAACATCGGGTAACAGTCGAATCTCTCTCCACTCCGAGTTAGTATAACGACACATCAACACAACACGATCGAGCACAATTGACAAACGTTTTTATCTCGATACCTAGGTCGCATCGTATCCATAGACACGAGGTGGCGCCACATCCGAGCTAGGACGAAGTCGGACGAAGTTTTATCGCTGACAGACGAAGTTTATCGGCGACGAGCCATCCCGTATTCCCATCGCCGGTGGTAGTTAATAGTTATTGCGCCCTGCGCCGCGCGATCGTGGGTTCGCAGGAGGACGTGAACGCTCGACGAAGCGACGACGGCAGTGGCGGTGGCGGCAGGCAGAAGAAGAAGGAGGACGATCGAGGACATTTTCTCCGTCAGACGAACAAGATCCGCGTAGCGCGCAGACATGCAACCAAACGCAAGAGGCTTTCGCGTCCCAGCCGCCGTAACTCTACGAGACTGCAGCGTCGTCATCGTCGGGAGTACATGCAGAATATGCGGCAGAGACTTCAAATGCGAGAGCGACGTCGCTCTGCACACGCGATGGCGACACAATGGAGCCATAGGATCGCTAATGGACATCCTGGATCATTCCGAGATGAATCTCGATGGAGAGATCAGTCAGAAATGCGACGTGTGCGACATGACTTTTGGAATCGTTTCGGATCTGAGATTCCACAAGCGACTGATACACAGGCATGTGATCAAGAACAGAGGAAAACGCCGGAAGGAGATGGTACGCATAAAATTCAAACTCAACGGTGTGACCACGACAGACGTGAATCTAGATCGGAGATACATAGAACTGCCAAACAGCTTCGGGTGTTTCGTCGATGTTTGCGAAACTTCGGATTCCCTTAAAAATGAAAGACGTCAAAATGACTGCGATGGAAATATCGATTTGTCTCTCCCGAACCATGTTGTGAACAAGAGTCACATGCAATACGGTATACGGCCCCACGAAGCTGCGAATCGATACATTGTAGGTAAATTCGCGTCTACCAAAGGCGACGCGATAGCAAGTCGCACCACCGAAGTGGGGAAGAGTCTCGTAGAGATCTCGAATACGCCGTACAAAGACGCAATCCCCGTTAGCGATATTACGTGCCAAGGGAACAAAGATCGTTACTATTTCGATTCTCAAACCTCGACGGACGTATTTGTCAAAACTTTTTCCGATAGCGTCCCCGATAAAGAAAATTCGGGAAGGGTAAACGAGTTAGAAAGAAGAAACATATATTGTCAGAGCGAGATTTTACTCGGTGACGATGACGATACCGAAGTTCTCGCCTGCCAATCGAAGGCATTCGACGAACCGACATCTATATCCGAACAAAATTCTCGGTCCAGTGAATGTCCTCGATATTCTATCAGATGGTTTGATAAAGTTGCAGGGACCAAAGAAACCACTGGGTTGACCAATTCTTTAATAGATTCCGTGGAGATAATTAGTAATAATGGAAAGAGTTACGATCATAATGCAGACGCGACGATGCGTTTGTCTCCTTCGTTGTCTCGACTGGATGAAAAAACCGAGTCGACGAAAGCTAATTCGAACGTTGACGACGACGTGCAGGAAGTGCTGCGAATAATAAGGGGAAATACGCAAAGTGATATCAATCACGAATCGCCTAATCGCATGGAAAGAGAGATACTAGTTCAAAACGCTATAAGCGACACATTTACATTGCCTTCGCAGTTGGAGCCGAATGTTTGTCCAGAAAAATACAGCGTCGCGTTTACGAATTTTAAACCGTCCGATTATTCACCATTTATGACCGTGACTGAAAGCGATTATCAGTTTTTGGCAAATTCGTTCGACAAAAAGCTGGGTATTTATTTCGAAGATTTGCAGCATTACGGGATCAAGCTCTACAACGATTTACCGGAAATTAATAACAACTTGGAAGAGTACTGGGTATATGCTCCACCGGTATATCCTCGGGATACACAGCAGGATTTCTTCGAAACGTGAAAGCAATCGGACGAGCTGCCGTATACCAGTGGACCGAAAGCGAATGACAATTAAAAGTAACTGTTGTATTAGACTGAATGTGTGTCGACAAAAACTTAGTGTTGACTACACGCCTTGAAGACACGATTCCTAGATCTTTTCAAGGCCAAACAATGAATGTGCCAATATATATTCTTTCGTTTTCCTTTTATATTGTCTTAATTTTCTTCAAATTTAAAGACAGAAATATTTTATCATATATTTTTTCTATATATATATATATATATATATAATGTAAACGTTGATTTACTTTATTTAAAATTGACAAAAGAGAGCAAACTTTCATTATCGTTCTTTTTTTCTTGCTAACGTTTCACTTGCGTTTTTTCTTTATTTAAACAAATGAACAAATGATTGTGTGATACTTCAAGCGAATTGAATATCAGCGTGATATATGAAATTTCAATTCCGTGAAGAAAAAAGTTTGGCTTATTATGATAAATAAAAAATCCAAACGTACTTATAGCAATAATTATACAAAAATATTTTACAACTGATATAACCGAGATATAAAAAGATATTTGAAAAATATTCTTGATGTTCAAAAATTTAAATGTGAATAATTCACAATTGTTAATTATCGCCATAGTTATCAGCTCTATAAAGATTAGTAGGAGTTTGTAAAACGCTAGTAAAATTTATAAGTGTTATCAGTTAAAAATTTTTAAAAGCATTGAAGAAAAAAGGAAGAATAATACTCTTACTGTATAGATCTAGACGTTATATGTTACTTAAGTTTTCCCTTTTAATTTTTGATTATATGATCAAATAATAATTTTGTGATAGACACGTCAATCAGCGTGTTTTGCTAAAACTGGATTATATATATCTTATTTTATATCTACATTTCTACTTACATGCATATGCTATTAATATAAATATAGATATAATTCTTGTGTTCTTGTACATTTTATAAAAAATTTCTTTTGTATTACAAGGAACATGTGAGTCCATGTATGTGATATCTAAGAAGAAAAAAAAATTGTTTTCAGAAACTCGTTCATTTACACGATTTCTCTTCTGTTTTCGTCGTCTTCGTCAATATCGCGCACTGTGTATGTCAATTTTTATAAGAATAATATTACAGCCAAAATGTCGTTTTCCGTAGCACTTAGGTATATATATGCGATGCTCCTATTTTTTGGGAGAAAAATACAATGCCGAAAATTGAGATATTTTAGGATTTTTAACAATCTACATGTTTGTAATAAATATTTGTTAAAAACATTATTTCTGTCTTTTTTTTAAATTTTCCTGTAGCGTGGTTAAGAGCTTAATAAACATTCACAACAGTGAAGCGATTTCTACAAAGGAACAAGGAAGCTAGGATTGTGCCATGATTAAAGTCGCGCTAAAAGATCGATCCATATATTGCAGTAATATTGCGTGTGGCAAAAAAAAAACATCCACGCGTTACCGTTGTTGCTTGCGTGACTTCCCCGAGTTCCCCGTTGTTTCTCGTCGATGTCATGCATCCGACACGCACACACGAATCGGTGAAGCTTGACAGGGAAAGGGTGAAGGGAGAGAGAGAGGGAGAGAGAGAATTTCCGATGATATACTACCGCCGCACCGGTTTTAATATGCAATGATCAGGCCGTTTTGCTTCCTTTGAAATAGAACACGTTATTTTTCGCTGTGAAACACGATTGTATTCGAGATGCAGAATGCAACACGATCTACAACGTTGCACAGCAGCCGCACTCCAACTGATAAGTTCGCTGGACCTCGCCGCCGGGCCCCTCTACCGCTGCCAGAAGCCCTCTCAAGTAGGAGAAACCGATTTGATCTTATGAGTCACAAAGGGAGTAAAGACGGTCATCGTCATCGAATCAATGCATCAAAGGCGCATGGAATGTGCCAATGTTGCAACTCAAAGAACTTACATTAAGTTCTAAAAAATTTCCTTAACATTGTAAAATTTACTTATTATCGCAACTTATTGCATTCCGCAACACAAATGTGCATTGCGAAAATCAAATTGAAACACTAACCGAAATACTAACCTACTTTTCTTTATAAGTTTATAATAAAAGCAGAGAGATCGAGTACATCGTGGTCATTATCGCAAAAAATCAGTTGAATACCCTATAAAATTATTATTTCGACAAAACTCGAACTATGGGAACTACTATAAGAAGACTGAACGAAGATCTGACACCAAATTGTAAGTCAACAGTTTAATAATAAATATTGTTTTGCGATGAGTTCTTTGCAGTATTTTAAGATACTTATTTTAGTATCAATGGCTGCGTTCAGCAGAAAAAGCAACTTTGCAACTGTTGTAAAATTCTTCAATATGATTGGATTATACGTTTAGATCTGTAAGGAACCAAAAGCAAGAACCAATCGTATTGAAGAACTTTACAGCAGTTGCAAAGCTGCTTTCTCTGCTGAACACAGCCATTACTAATTTCACGATCAATTTATTTTTTATTATTTCAGTTTCAGTTTATGTTTGCGTTTCAAGTTTGACAGTAATCGGCGCGCAGTTTACATAACTGAAAAATGTATTTAAAATTTAAAGAAAATATTATTTATAGACATCAAAACCTAGCCTTGATTATTAATTAGCGCTTTTTATTTATTTGTTTCAATAAATAAACTAGAGGATCGATTGTATATCTTGAAATGAGGTGAAAATTATAAAAGTGAGCAAATTCACTATAATATTTATAATTTCATTGGGGTCAATATAATTATTATAGTGAATTTATTCTCACTTTTGTAATTTTCACTTTTTGGAAATTTAAATTTCCAAATTTTTATCTTATCTTTATCTAAAAATCATCTATGCACAACACTGATAATATTAGATACAAAGATATCACATATCCCAAATATATCTTTAAGATATCTCTAAGATATATTTTGAACACATTTGCTGTGAGTAACAGGATACTTCTAAACATAATGAATGACAGAGGTCAAAAACTTTTAACGATTTCAGACTAGTATTATCTCTGAGACCGAGCGTCGCATGCTACGATAAAACAGCAATGAAGTGGGGTGTATATCATTTGCCCACATCGCTAATAAAAATAAAATAATCTCATTGAGCAGTAAAAAAAAATATTAGGAACCCCGGTTGATGTGAGTGGTGTGTGCAACTGAACTGTGTGCCAATGCATGGCTTCCAATGAAATGAGGAGTAGGAACAGTAATATATGAATATCGACACGTTTCAATTTCAAAAGTACCCAGTCCTGGACAGCTCTGAAATACACAATTGACCCTCGGATTACCACTCATGAACACTCATCTACTATTCTTTGAAACTCAGCACCAGAATTCCTAACAAATAAGACAAAGCAGACTCTTTCCATACGCCTGTCATATGTCATATCCTGGGGTGTGTTCAGATTTCCACTCGAATGTCATCCTTGAAATAACGTTCAGTAACAACAGGATGGAGTGGCACTCGGGTGAGAATCTGAACATATGCCCTGAGGGGTACAACAATGTGTTGTGACTTGGGAGAGGGGGGGGGAGCAATTGTATTATCTTGAAACGAAGTGAAAATTACAAAAATTCACTAAGTATTGACCAATAAAATCATACCTATTCTAGTGAATTTATTCACTTTTGTAATCTTCGCCTCATTTGAAGATGCACAATCGACTCCCAGGAAACAATTTGACATGCAAGTGAGGAAGATAACTCCAATTATTAGCATTGTGATACCAAAACATTTTTAACATCAAAAACTAGAAAAAAGTATTTCAGAATTATTGTGAAAATAAAATAAGAATATAAATAAATTCTAATTTTCTTTATGATATTTCGATGACAAAAAATATTTATAAAATAAATTCTTATATTTTTTAAAATAAAAAATTTAGTTTTAATTTCAAATTAAATGTATATTATTATGTGGATGTTGTTAAATATCTAATCATTTAATTTTTAAAATAAATTTTCTATTTACCGTTTAATTTAAATAATTTAAATCAAATAATTTTTTTAATTCAGATAACTTTTAAGAATTAATTAAATTAAAAACAAAAATTAATTGTAACGTCAAAATGATGAAAATTATATTAACAATATATATTCAATAGCAAAAAAATGTGCAAAGAATTTTTTTTTTTAATGTTTACTGCGTCGTTTATTACATCACAATATTACATTCCACGAATTTTTCATTGTATTATTTATCTATCGTGTTTCACAAATTTCACAAATTTAGACATCACACGAACGATTCACGAGGGACCAAATTAACGATTAATCCTCTTCTTGCTTCATCCGCATTTTGACCCGTTTCAATTCTTCATAACGAGCGACATACTCGTTCACCGTCGCGCATAGATCTCCGTTGTTTTCCATTGCGAGCTCGAGGGAAGAGAACAGGCTCTCCAGTAAATGACTCGGCCACTCGTCGGTTGATCTGACAATCGTTTCGACCAAATCCTCGATTTGCGAGCTGTACAATTTCTCAGTGCTAGACGGGGCCGAAGAAGCGCTGGACGTTAATCTCTGCCGTTTGGACGACGGACCTTCCCCGGACGCGTTGTATTCTCTCTTAATATTCATTCCTAATAATCATCAAGTTTATAAAAGTATACAAATCCATTGCGATTTATACTGTTCGTGTAACTCAATTCTAAGAAATCGCCCTACTGAAAAAAATCATGTCACAAAGTACATAACGAAATCATGTAATTAAGGTAAGTAAATCACGAATTATTCCAAATTAGTACTTATGTGATTTTTTAAAACCACATATAGTCCCTGGCCACATTATTATGACCACCTTATCTTTTTGCACTCTTTTCTATTTGGTTAAATTTTAAATATATATTATGATTTATTGAACAATTTTATGTCTAATCAATTAATTACAACTTGGCAATGTTAAATCAATTATATTTTATTATAAAATACAGCAAACAAAACATGCAAAATAAATATAAATTGTTGTTAGACATGTTAATACAACAACAATTTATATTTATTACTTACCGTTATATTTTATTAATATTAACAATTTACGTCACGAGACAAAGTGTTCTAAATAGAGATTATATGTAACTTTTTTTTTTTTTTTGATGACGGAGGGGAAATGCCTACGCATTCCCTGGGTCTCGGGGGTGAACCCAGGGATATGTGGGGCTTGCACCCACTAAAACCTCTCCGGGTGTCCTGTCGCTGGCCGGTGTTGGGGGGCTCCCAGGAACGCGTGCAGCATACTTCTGGGAGCCCCCCTGGCTCTTCGGCTTTCGCCGACTCGTTCCCGCCCGGGGCCTTTGCTAGTCCCGGGCAGCGCTCATGCGCGACTTCTCTAGTAGATTATATGTAACTTCGGCGTGGTTAAACAGTTGACACATGTCAAAATGGCGATCTATGTTAGAGTTGCATGCACAGTAATTTAAAAAACAGTATTGCCACATGAAATACAAATTTTTCTACCACTTTTTATAAAAATTTGCCAACTTATCATAAAAATATTGTAAAATTCAACAATGGTCATAATAATGTGGCCAGGAACTGTAATTTGAAAAGTCACACAATATGTATTTTTCCTTCTATTTCTATCATTCAATTCTTTAAAATTCAATAACTATAAAATCACATGATGGATGAAAAATTATTTCTAATATTATGTGATTTTTCAAATTACGTTTTTAAAAAATCACGTACTCTGATTTATATTTTTTTGTTATATAATGAAATCAAGACAAGTAAATCATGTAACAGATTATTCCAAAGAAGAGTACGTGATTTTTAAAAACGTAATTCTTTGTGATGTGATTTTTTCAGTAGGGCGTATATACAGATTGGACTTATAAGATTATCAATTATAAAGCAGTTACTCGATCTGGAAGATGTCGAGTGCGAGGACCGTACAGCTCCGAGCTTATTTCGCGCTTTCGATTGCATTTTAATCTTTCTGGTCGTGCCGCGTGCCGTGCTAATCTCTTAGAGACCATTACGATACACATTAACATGCGTATATATATCGTACATAAAACTTGTATTAAAAAATATACCTAGTACTCCATTAGAGTCGGTAGAGTGTATATGATTCTTCAGCTTCCTGTTCTCACCCTTGAGCTTCTTCGGGCACGAGATTGGCGTCAGATCAACTACGTTTGTTAGAAATTGATATATTAACCATTGTACACTGTTATTATTTCAGACGGATAATCACCTTGCGAGGAGCGATCGGAAAGACTGTCGGATTTTCCATTAAACAACTGTTTGAAAAAGGAACGTCGCTTTTGCGGCGAAGGCGATTTCACTTCATATATTTCGCCGCGATTATCGTCATATAATTCTGCAATCTGTGACAAGCGGCGCAAATGATTAACAATTATGCACTTACGAGCATATTGGAAATATATCAATATTTAAAGGTCAGTCGTTTAAGAGATAATTTGTTTAAATCCATTTTGACTATTTTCTAAAATGATTCTATAAATATTCAATATTTTCACTTCAATTTTTTCAATCTACCATTTTTATATATAAATATACTTAAATATATCTTAATGAATATGTGCTATCATATTTATATCTCGAAGTAACTGCTTAAACTTTCTTATTATTCTCAGACTCTTATTATTCTTAGATTCTTAATATATATCAAGTTATTAATATTCTTATAATATAAGATAGATTCTTATTAAAATCAAATTATTAAGTCTTATAAAATATTTATTGGTATCAAAATTATTAAACTGCTTGTTAATTTAATTTATGCAGATATTCCATAAAGACTCGAACAACGCTTAAACGGAGATTCCTGAGATCATTTTAAGACGAAAATTCTAATACCAAAATGTTGAGGCTATAATAACTTTTGAATTATAATTGATTAAAGATAGTATGTAATTCGAAAACTATTATAGCCTCGATATTTTCGTATTAGGATTTTCATCTTAGAATGTTCAAAAGAGTCCAGAAATAATAATAGAGGCTATAAAAGTAAAATGTTTTTTACTTACAAGCATTTAAAGTTAGCTTATAATTAAAAAAATTTGTGCAGTTCGACATTTTGGTATTAGAATTTTCGTCTCAAAATGATCTCAGGAATATCCCCTTAAGCGTTGTTCGGGTCTTTACGGGACACCCAGTATATAAATTCATACTGTGAAATATTTAGATCCGCTTTGACCGAAAATAAGGTTTCTCTTACTTACAGTTAAATTTATTCTCATCCGTTCAATTTCGAATTATAATTTTTTAAACCTTGATATACTAAACATGTACAAAACACGGGCAGAAAAGTATTAAACATGTTCAAAAAACAAGGGAATATTAAAAAGACAAAAAGGATATCAACCTTTAGTGGCAGATTAATGTGTCGACAGTGAGCGGTCATTAGCACGAGCATGTGCACCGATCGATCGAGACCACGTATTAAAGAGGTAAAAACCACTCTCGCCGTCTCATCCACCAGATCCCACCAGGTCAAGACCCCGGGCATATACAGCAACGCTGGTAGGGTGCGTCGCGCGGTTTTGATTTTCTGTTATTACAACAAAATGACGACTGTCGTCTGATATTTTGTTATTTTTTTCAAAAATAGGAAATAATTGTTTTCTACTTGTATCATGGCTTCTTCAGCCGCCTTGCCCGTTTCCTCAAACAACGTCGTAACGTCCAAGATGTGACACGGCAAGTGTTCCAAGGTGTGCAGCAACGCCGGGCCCAGATGACGAGTGTGGGAATCATCTTCACCGCATAGCAAAATTCGCGGACAGCCGCTCGATTTGGACGTGGCTTTGCCTGTACTGCGGTCACACGCGAATTAGTATTTGATTTTCGCCTCTCTGGATATTTTCATATCACTTACATGTTGTCAGAAGTCAGCATGCCGGCTGGACAAAGTGTTTGCAAACGCGACAGGATTCCAGTTAGATCCTCGTGCAACAACGGTTGAATTCTGAAGGATAAGCTCTTAATCGGGGCGACTATAACGCGATGCGACGCTGGAACGATGTTTTGGCGTGCCTTTAAGAAATCGTCCTTTTCCACCTTGATAAGAAATATTTCTCTTGCAATTAGATGTTTTACTTTATGTAAGAATAGTACGAAATATACAGAATAATATAATATATATGAAATGTATGTATGCATATTTTTACATAAAAATTATTTCTATATAAAGTCTATTTTTTTCTATGAAGTGATTTATTTTATTTATTATGTAAGAAAATCAAATCAGTATTTATTGTCACCAAGTGTCTTACTTTGAGATGGCGTTCATTGATGTGATACTTAGACTTGGAATTATAGATCTGTGGATAATTTCTGCGAACGGAGCACATAACTGCTTCAGCGCAAAGAGCCTGCAGATCACTGCCGCAGAATCCTAGCGTTTTCGATGCCAGATACGCCAAGAATTTCTGCGCTGGTTTCTGCTTCCAGCTTTTGATGTGCACCTGTCCCCGTACAAAAAATCAACATTTTCCTTTTCATCATTAGCTTTTTTCTTACACATTTTTGTGATATTTTTTACTAGCAGAACGGTACCGAAAGTATCTCTTTTCTGGCACTGTAGCAAGGCAGAGGAAAGTACAGTTCTTTGTCAAATCTGCCGGGTCTCCTCAGAGCAGGATCTATCGCATCAATTCTATTAGTCGCGCCTATCACTATGATCTCGGAATTGTTGTCCAGACCATCCATCAAGGCCAAAAGAGTGGAGACAACGCTGGCGTGAACAAAATCCTGTCGACTAGATCTCACAGGCGCGAGACCGTCGACTTCATCGAAAAATATAATACACGGTTTCGTCTGTTGTGCCTGGAGAAGAAAATAATTTTTTTTTCTTTGGATTGGAGATGAAGTGGATGCTCACTTCCTATGGAAACTCTACGGGAATACAGCATAAAATATTGGAAAATGTTTTCAAACAAATTTTTTAATATTTAAAAGGATATTATTAAAAAAGTTCTAACAATATTTTAAAATGATTTTTTTCATGATAACATTTTTAGAAACATTAAAAAAATTTGTTAGAAATATTTTTTAAAATATTCTTTTTTATCACTCAGAAAATATTTTCTAAAATATTTGAAATATTTGATATTTCTGTGCTGTATGGGCTCTTGAATTAATATGCATGACTTTTTGCAGATTCAATTTTATGGGACAATTTGCCCAAGTTTTAAAGAAAGTTGATTTTAAATTTAAATGTTTCTTTAAACTCTGAACAGATAAAATGATAAGAGCATGGAATTATAAGAGACCAAACTTTACCGACCAGGGAAAAAATCTTTTCGAGCTTTTTCTCGCTTTCTCCGACCCATTTGCTAAGACAGTCGGAACCTTTGCGAGAGATGAAGGAGACCTTACGTTCGGAATTGCTGCATTCTGTCGCTAATGCGCTGGCTACGAGAGTCTTTCCCGTTCCTAGTAAAGAATGAAACAAGAGAGATCCACCTTGCATGATGAAGCATTTGACATTACCTGGAGGGCCGTGAAAGAGTAAACCGCGCGGTGGTCTGAGATTAAATTTAGCGTATACGTCCCCGTACATCAATGGGAATAGGACCATCTCCTTTACAATCCTAATATGCTTCTCCAGCCCTCCGATACAGGAGAAATCTTTCACCGCGCCAGACATCTTTTTGTCTTTTCCAAGAACTCGAGGAGAGTTAAACCGATCTACTTCCACTTCTGTTGCAATATAATCAATGTAAAAATGTCAATTACTCAATATAATTAACGTAAAAATGTTAATTATTCAATATAATCAATGTAGAAATATCAATTACTCAATATAATCAATGTAAAAGTGTCAATTACTATCATCGATGTCTCGATGGAAATTCACGATTTATTCGTGCATCCTGAGGTGATCTTACGATCGGTATTGTCACTGGAATTTTTACGCAAATGTTATTCGGAGTTATGAGAACCTACTACTCAATTTCAACATTATTCCTGACATTATCGTCAGCTAACAGACGGAAAGTCACACGGATCGATTCTCGTATCGATACGACGCTCATATATTTCAATTTCCTTCCTGATAAAAAAATAAAGGAACGGACAGAAAGGAATGCAAATAAATCGCCAGCGAATCGGTTACATTACGAAAGTTTTATTTCACTATAATATATGACAATAAAATGTATTACTTATATGATAAAATAAATAAGGCAGTGGATGCATCTCGTCGCTTTTCGTCCGTATCTTTTACAACTTCGTCGTGTATGCGCCTAAATTCTTAAGGCTACCATCTACTCTGCGTGCGTACATTGTCAGTAGAAAAAATTGCCAGATACTTGATATGCTACAGCTCAAGTTCGAGCGTGTTAATACTTCATTCTTTGTAGAGAGTAGTCTTAAGGGATGTTATATTGAAAAAGAGATAGAAAGAAAGAGAGAAACAGATAAATGTGGTCGCTCGTCCGTAATCGGCAGTGTTTGCAAGATAGCTTCTCGATTCGATAGTGCATACATTGTTTATACATATATGTATATGTACGTATAATGCGGATTTTCATGCGGTGGTATTGCGAAAACGACGGCATACCGACGAGCACCAAGAACGTAATCGCAGAACAGCCGTCTCTTTCGGATTCGTGATTTCGAGTGCGGAATGTAAATCTGTGATCGCTAGAAGAAAAATCATATATACACATCCGTCTGCGAGTTAACGGTGTAACTTCCGTATTTTATCTGAACACTTTGCAACAGTTATAATTATGTATATGCAGGAGTGAGGTCTTGCATTATCTGTCGTTAGCTTCTTTGGCAAATACCGGATACTTGTATCGATCCCCGTTGCGAGAGAATCAATGATAATTCACGTGAAGCAATTCTTCTTTTTCCTTCCTTTTCATCCTTCTTCATTTTCGAACGGGGCTGAGAATCGAGAATATGTGTACAATCGCATATGCATAATACGAACGCTGGGAAAAAGCGAGCGTTTCTTTTTTTTTTTTTTCCTTTCCTAAACCTCAGTCTTTTCGATTCTACTTACTAAAGAATTTCGCAAGTAATACAATCGAATTTCGACGAACGATCCAATCGCCGAAACGAAACGAATTCTTATCACAATAACTACAAAAATTTCTTCGCTACGAATGCATCACCTGACGCAAAAAACGGATATGCTACCAACAAAATTTGTAGATTACCTCTTAAATCACGCTCTTGCAAACGAAAAACGTTACAGCTTAACAATAACGACGTATCCCTAAGATATTACTCGTGGATCACATGAGAGATTTATTGACAGAGTTTATTTACTATAGCTCCTATTCGATTGTATGATTTGAACAGCAAAGGATGGATTGCGCCCTGTATGTATGTTGCCTCCGATGTATTGTTTAAACGGTTATTGAAAAGAATCTGCTTTTCTCAGGCTGTTCGGGACAGCTTAATTAAGTGAAAACGAGTTTTCGTCTCGTCGCATACGACTTCATCTGGTAACTAATCGTTCACAATTACAGCAAGTCACAACCAATACACGAATCTGGGGAAGGCAAGTTATATCCTAAATATTCGCTAATATTTATACATGTACATACATATAACACAAAGTCTCCCAGAATCGTCACAGTTCTTCTCGAGCATGAATACTTGGATTTCCGAGTAATAAGAACGGCAGTTTTTTTTCCTAAATCAAAACATAGCTTTGTAAAGTTGACCATCTATTAAAAATTTTATTTGTCTCACTTTTGGATAGATACAAAAATTAAAAGGTCAAGAAAATAAAAAAGAAAATCAAGTGGAAGAAAGTGCGATAGTTCTGGGATATTTTGTAGAGCGACGGCCAGATATTCAAGAGTGCCTAGGACCGACTGGAAGTCTCAACGTTTTATATTCCTTTCCATTGCCGTTTCGAATTTTAAACTTGATATTATTTATTTCTTCTGGTAAATTTAGTAAAAAGGATAATTTTTTGTCACCAATTTAAATCCCAATCCTTGCCATGTATTAATTGTTGCGGCTCACTTTTGGGAATCTAACGCGCGAACGATTAATTTTGTTATTTTAGAGTCATTCACTTTTTAAGAGTCTTCGAAACCGCTCTAAACATGACTAACTAGCCGCCACTGCATCATATATATATATATTTTTTTTTTATCGAGGTATTTCATATTTATAATAGTGTAAGTGTGTGTATATTAAGTGCCCTGTTTCCATCTTCAACGAGTAAAACCTTATCCTTTTTACAACTTTGGTCTATTTAAATTGCAGATTACTAGTCACATTTCGAATACACCTTAAGTTATTTCGTATGAACTGAATTGCAAGGACAGATCAAAAGTTATCATCACACAAGAAAAAGATCACATTTAACTGAAACAATTATTCAGTTAGAAAGATAGTAGTTTTGACGAAAAAGTATTGTTACATATATAGATATATGTTCACTCATATTTCTTTAGACATCGAATATAATTTTTATGATTTAATATTAAAAAATTTAATATTTAATATAAAATTAAAACACTTTATATATGAATTTTTTCTCTTGAGATAATAAGCTTTGATCGTTTTTAAACGTCAAGTGTATCATCTTATACTATAAGTAATAATTTGAATTGATACATCCTGTAGCACGAGGTATATTTTGATACACAAGGAGAAAACCACAATCTTACTCTCTATAAATCTTTTGGAGTGAAAATTGAGCCAGTCAATGAATGAAATTTTTTTTACTGTTGAACAAGACTAGCAGATTTTCATTTTTTTGAAATAAGATTTCATTTTTTTAGAGTAAGATTTATTCCAAAAGAATGAGATCTCACTCCTTTTTTTTGGAGTGAGACTTCCTTGGAGTGACTTTTACTCCAAAAGAGTGAAATCTTACTCCAAAAGAATGAAATCTTACTTCTAAAGAGTGAAAATCTACCACTGTCCAAGAGTAAAAATATTTTCTCTCTTTTTTCAAGACTGGCTCAATTTTCAGACTTTTGGAGTGAGATTTCACTCTTTTAGAGATGAACTTCAAAAGATTTAAAGAGTATATATATAAAAAATGTAAGGAAAAACACGTTTCGTGTTTCAACTTTACTACGTATGTAAATTTTTATTCGAATTCAAAATGAACAATTCTAAATAGTTAGCAATTTAATAAAATGAAAAAACTCGTGTGATAATATAAAAAAAGAACCGCTATCCAAAATTGCGGACAATTACCGTGCCATATTAATGGCTTTGCTTAATAAAGATTGAATTAAATTAAAATTGTTAAGTACACAATGTATCAATTCTTGTGTTTTCATTGTCTCTTATACAGGGTGAGGAAAAAATATAGGGACCCCGAAATATGTCGAAAAATATAAGTTTTATAGAAAACTGTTTCAAGTTAAAAGTTGTAGGTTTTAAAAAGGTCTATCTACCAATCTTATCAGTTTGACCTCGGATAGCGTCGCGGTGAGGCTAGGTTTTAAATGGGAGGTTTCCATTCAAGATATTTCTCCGGCTACAATCGCGCTAGAAAATTAATCGCGTACAACCCACGAATATGCCTCTCCGCGCGTGCTCTCTCAAGAGAGAAACTTTTGAGGCGAACGTACACACGCGTATAAATGTCATATCTGTGCGCACGAACACTAGTTCGCACTGAAGACGGTTGAAATGTGACGATAGCATGTCTCTGGCTGCGTTCCGTTTCACGCATGATGCATCTTTTATCCTTGTTATTCATCGAATGTTAAACAAGAATTAATGATGCATATCATGCGTGAAACGGAACGCAGCCTCTGTCTCGCCGCTCGGCGTGCGAGAAGTATTCCATCAAATTACAAATTTAAACTACTCTAATTCAGAAACGCTAGGACTCTACTTTTTTTTATAAGGTTCCTATAATATTTCTACATTACATACATATATATTTTTTTAAATCTGTAGAAGATTTACGCCGCAAAGTATTAAAATATTGCTTCGGCAAGGTTTGGTATAGAGATTTATGTATTAAAAGCTAAAACTTTGGAGGTGAATATCTCCATTTCGGCACCGCTAGAGTTTTTGAAATTTTAATCATATATAGATAAAATTATTTTAAACATAATATCCAAATTTCAACAAAATCTGTAGAAACTCAATTTCTCGGAGAAATACCTTAAAGAAATCAATGTGACTTTGACTTGACTTTGGTGATGCCACCCAAGGTTAAACTGATAAGACCGGTAGATAAATCTTTTTAAACCTTGCAACTTTTTTATCTGAAACAGTTTTCCATAAAACTTATATTTTTTTTAGATATTTCGGGGTTCCGATATTTTTTCCTCACTCTGTATGATCAATATAATGTAATTAGTTGAAAGAAAAATATATATTTTGCAAAATGTGTATATGTGTCTGTATACATATAAAGTATGTATACAGGGTGTTTCCAAATTAAATGG